TAAATGGATCTGCAAGTATAAGACTTTGCCTTTCATTTTGTTATCTTAATGTCTGTGATGTATAAAGAGACTTGGAAATAATGTAGTTAACATGATCATCAATTGTTTAATCACACTGTACTGCTTAGGAAGTTGATGTTTTATGTATAGTCTTGTTGATGTGTGTTTTTTTTGGGTTTTTTTCTTCTTTTGTTATTGTTAATGTTATTTTTGATGTATTGCTGTGTGTGTAGTTATCTGTTATATGTGTTTTTCTTTTTATGTTTTAATTTTTAAATCTTAATAACATTTTTAAAAAATGTGTGAACAAAGCACTATGCTGTGTGCTTTACCTGCAATAATAATCCTATTATATAACAAATTTCACTTTTTTAAAAAATGTATCCATGACAGTAGTCATTTTACCATGTGATCCAATTTTTGGCTGGTGGGGTGTGCTTCAAACTTGCACCATCCCTCCTTCCCTCTCTGTATTTTAATTCCTTCCAAATCAGGGATCAATATGTTCTAAAGCTCAGATGGTCCTAATACCTGAGTTTGGCCACTCTGGGATTTTGAGTGACATTAAGTCATTTCCAGTCACCTTTTCAGATTGTTTGGAGAAGCTGCTGTTTGGGGAAGGGGAAACAAAAAAACAGAAAAGGCCCTCTGGGAGGTAGTCACCAGCCTCGTTTTTTGAGGCTGTAACAAATTCCCCCCAGAGGACCGGAGAGTGCGGGGAGGATTATACGGGAGGAAGTGGTCCTTAAGATAGCCTGGATCCAAGCCATTTAGGGCTTTAAAGGTAATAACCAACACCTTGTACTGGGTTCGGAAACTAATAAGACTATAAACTACAGTTCCCATGATCCCTTAGCACTGAGCCAGGACAGTTAAAGTGGCCTCAATCTGCATTATTTTGGGCAGTCTGTAAAGGCCCTTTATCAACCTTTTGACTCAATATAGCTACATTCCTCACTAACTTATATATGGAGGGGATGAGGGCTCATAATTAAACTCACAAACTTCACTTAATCAACACTCTTCCCAGTTCTGCACACACACCCATATCCTGCAAGTAGATGAGAGAATTGTCACAAAATGTATGCAGGAAGACTTCCCTTTCCCTCCTTTAATCCTTTCTCAGTTATTATTGTATGTTAATTGTTATTTCATATTTTTCCTCAGTAGAGTGATTATATGTCAATAGAAAAATACATATCTGATTCTTAAAAATTGGTGAGAATTCTGTGGCTTTCCATACTTTCTGGACTAAAACTCCTAGCACCCTTAACTATCATTGCCGATGGTAGGGAATGCTTTCAGTCCAATACGTGAAAGGGCATGATTCCCATTCCTGTTTGGAAATACTGAATAACTCTGTCCACAGTTAGTTTACTCAGTCTATAACAGGACACAGAAAGATGGACAATAGATCCATTCCTAGTTCTCATTAAAATACATTGTTCCTCATTAAATTCCAGCATTGAGTTCAAGTGTTGACAACTATTGACTCTCCTAGTACCAGAAGCATGGATAGATTCCCCTCAGCATCCATTCTATACATTTTTTCCTCTAACATGAACACCTACCTTTCAAGCTTTTCAGCAACATCTAATCTTTCATTCTGCTTTATTGTGTTATTCCACTTTTGAGCTGTCAATAATTTTTCTGCAGACATCAAATAATTCCCAACCTCTGTATTTCCAGCACTGATAGGAGCTATGGAATGAAAATTCAATAAGATGCCTTCTAAATATAGGAGGATTAGGCCTTTTTTAAACAATCACAGCAGAATCAGATGGCATTGTCCCACTTCCCATGAATGGGACCACAATTTAGATGGTTATTGTATAAATCGCTGCTTGCGTTGCAAGAACTTAAGCCCATCCCAATAACTGCTCTTCCTGTTTTATACTTGAAAATTTCATTCACCCTCAATACGTCCTTATTTCCCTCCTACCCTTTCTGCACTCGATCAAAGAGATAGAGCATATATCCTAATAAACAGTTCCTTAGTATCCATGACAAGCATTAGCCATCTCATTTCAGCTCAGCCATAGACTCCAGGCTTGGAGATATTAGTTCATCTTTGGAGCAGTTTTATTATATTTTCAGACACAGATATGGATGAGTAACAGGCAGGCTTTATCAGCAGGCGAACACAGTCATTCAGCAAAAGGAACCTTATCTATATAGAGGGAGCTGAGAATAATTGACAGGAAGGTTTCTGGCTAGTCAGGAAATGTATTTCAGGACTTTTAAAAATAGAGAGAAGTGTTAACATTGTGCGGTCATTCTGCAGAAATTACTGAATAGAATTGTTTCGTGGGGCATAGAAATGCACAGGATTTAAACAGGTAAATTGTTGCTGCTGTACAGCCTACATGCAATCTGGTTTCCACTTAAATGCTTCTATTTGCTTCTGCTAAAATGGGAACAGTGTGACAAACACTGACATTTGGAGAGTTTTCAAAGAAGTAGCCATCTTAGTCTATTGCAATGTTTTAAAAAAAGGAAGGGGAGAAAGAAAAACAAATCTAGCAGCATCCTGATAACTGGTGTTTATTTTAGTTTCAACTTTCATGGATATTAATCCTCTTCTTCAGAGGCAATACATAGTGATATTAAGAGGTAATATGATACCCCTGTTTAAATATTTGAAGGGGTGTCATATTGAGGATGGAGCAAGCTTGCTGTTCCAGAGAACAGGACCTTGGGCAATGGATTCAAACTACAGGAAAAGAGATTCCAACTCAACATTAGGAGGAACATCCTGATAGTAAGAGCTGTTCGACAGTGGAACAAACTCCCTCGGAGAGTGGTGGAATCTCCTCCTTTGGAGATCTTTAAACAGAGTCTGGATGGCCATCTGTCAGAGGTGCTTTGATTGTGAGTTCCTGCAGGGCAGGAATGTTGGACTGGAAGGCCCTTGAGGTCTCTTCCAACTCTATGATTGGGTTATTAAGCATGTTTATATGGAATGGAATAGAATATAATAAAGTCTAGAAAGATATAAATCCTGACCCTCACCCTAAATCTTCCAAGGATTATGTGAGACGATACAGATCTTTCAAATATTTACAGTGGTCTATTAGCATTTACATGTGGGAACAACTAATGGACAATAGTCTATTTTCCTGGGATCAAAACCTTTGCAGAGGAGCTCCTTTATATTACATGTGCAATTGTGAAGAATCATATATTAATATATGTAGTGCACTATGAAACCATAATATTTGTTCATACTTGTTGTTGTGTGCCTTGAAGCAATTTCCAACTCATGGCAACCCTAAGGTGAACCTATCATAGAATTTTCATTGCAAAGTTTGTTCAGAGAAGGTTTTACCATGTCTTCCTCTCAGACTGAAAGCATGTGTCTTGCTCAAGGTCACCCAGTGGCTTTCATGGCTGAGCAGGGGATCAAACCCTTGTCTCCAGAGTCATAGTCTGATACTCAAACCACTACACCATGATGGCTAATGGATTAGAATTTGTGAATAAATGTCACTATCAATTGTTCATCTTTTTTGTGTTCCTTTGTAATTTCCCTGTAATTTCCCAATGAAATATGGGGCATTCATCATTAAAAGTTTTTAAAAGAATTTACTTAATTACAGTATCTGGTAGACCTTGCTCCACCTGTCTGGCCCAATCTGCTCAAGAATTATGTGGGCATTATATTTTATTTATTTTATTTCATGATAATTATAGTTCAATATTTATATGTCACTCAATAGCTGACTGGGTTGCCCAGTACCCAAGCTCTCAATAACTTGCAATAAAAGCAAATAGAATAAAAGATAATGACTTCCATAATGAGAAGAATATATAAAACAGCATTTTAAAAAATCCCAGCAGGAGAGAATAAAAACAGTAAAACTGAAATTTTCCAGCAGTATTAACAGTATTTCAAGCTGTTTTTACATCAGTTTAACATCCATTGCACAGTGGTTTACAATAAAATAAAATGCAACACTAAAATATAATCACCGTTATAAAACAACGAAAACAGCCATAAGAAGTCACATCCACAAAAACGTATCTCAAGTAATTTTAAGAGATTTTTTTAAAAATCCTACAAAACAGGGAACAAAAATTGAGTCTAAACTTGACCAGATAATGATCTGTCCATGACAAAAGAACTGCAGAAAGTTCCTCCACACCAAGATCACCATGACCCCTTCCAGCACAGACAGCAAGGCCCAGAGTGTGCCCAACAACATGGGTAGAGCCAGACACCACTTGGAACAAACCCATGACTGTCATGGAAGTCCTGAGACACTCCTGGCAGGGCAGTCTCCCCATGGCCATTAAAGTCCTCCTACAATATTAGCCATGGAGATTCCAACACCAACCCTGATACCATCCTGGCTAGCTCACGAAGGGAGACTGTTGAGCAGCAGGATGGGTAGTATACCAATGGAATACCTAGTCTGTTCTGACTATCTGTCCTGCTCTCATGCTGCAACTGAGCATAGAGTATCAAAAGTGCAGTAGCTGAAGGAACAACCAGTGTCCAATAACAAACAGTCCAGGGTTAAGAACCATAAACCCAAGCAGTGTCCAAATTGAAGTAGCAAGAAGTTGCAGTCAATAAACAGTCCAGGGTTGTAAATCTCAGGATCATATCTCACAGTAGAGCCAGTATGAGAGAAAAAACAGTTTGCTTCTAGCAAACCAAACGAGAAATGACTCCTGTCTTATAGAGCCAGCTGACTCAGCCCCACCCAATTTTCAGAATATATTTCAAGAGAGTATTTCCCAGCTGCATGCATGCAGCCTCTCATTTCATCTGCGGGGCAGGGCAGGGCGGGACTTGGTTTGTGCCAAATGCCAAAACTTTTGCTTTTCGCAATGACTTGGATCTTTCTCTCCTACCTCCTCCTCTGGAGAACTCAGGTGGCTGTCATACTGAGCTGGAGGGGAGCCCAGCTGTAGTTGGTCTGTTTCATCTTCTGAAGCTGAACTTTTGGGGGGAGGGCATGACATCAACCATCTTTCAGTATATATACTCAAAACCTGCAAACTATGGTCAGGTAGAGAAATCATTATAGACAATTTCAACTCCATCTCTCTGCTAATGCACAGAAAAACCTGTAAGGCAGAACTGAGATAGATTAACCCTTCCCCAAGCCTCATCCAGCCAGGTTTCTGCAATACAGGTCAGGTCAGCATGTTCCTCCAGAATCAAATCCTTGTTTTTTTCATTAATTGACCTGGCATTCAGGAGCAGCATTTTCAACCCAGAGGGACTATCACCAAGACTGTCTAGGCTTGACCTGGGAGAAAGTTTGGGGGGCAATAACCCCTCTATTACACTTCTCTCTTCCATGCTATTGTGATTGTCTCCTCCTTTCATATTTCCTTCTGCCTTCTAAGACTCCAATGGCTGCTCTCTGAATCTGTTCATCACCATCCTCCTCTGGAAAACACATTCTTCCTTTATTAGAGCCTTGGGTACAAGCAGGGTTCATACACGCAATGAATACTGCCCAGAATCCAAGTGGAGCTAAAGACAAATTTCCCTGAACTGGGCTATTTGATTTTTCCCCCTAGCACAAAAGTACAACAAGACTTTTCATTAAATCTTTTGGGTACTAATTTATTTCAAGTATACATATACCTGGTTTTGAATTTTTGTCATTTCTAAAGTAGTTGTAACTGTTGCTTTTGAAGCGGTTTTAATTGGTACTATACTTAATTAAATATATAGTTAATATATATAATATATTTTTCTCTTCAAATTATTCATGCTTTTAATCGAGAAATGTTGTAATAAAGGGTGGGATAGACGTGATTTCATTGACAAATAAAAATAAAATAAATAATCCAGCCCTGCACATAGTTGGGGATCAGCGCCCCGCCCCACCCCATTTTCACTTTTTCATTATTCATCCCTACCCAGAATCAAGGGAACAAGTGAGCCCCAAGGTGACTCTTGAGCTCGATATAAATTTCCCAAAGACCCATAGTAAGTAGAAGTTCCCAGTCAATGTGATTTCTTTCTTTTCAAAAAGTCTTTCAGGTTCATTGAGTGGAAGCAAAGAGCTGTCTCTAGAAGGCTTCCTTGAAAGGCTGCCTCTGACTTTCATTGACCTGAGTTCCCACCTTGGAGAGGGAGCCCTGATTAACAACTGACTTCAAAAATTGAAATGAAAAGAGAAAACCTCAGCAAACCCACTGCCTCTCCTCCCGCCACCCCCACCCCTTAAATGTACTGCTGAATCAGCTGTTGCTGAAACAAAGCTTGTCTCTTCCCCTCCCATCTCCATCTCCCTTTCTTAGACATTTCTTAGAAACAGAATCTTAGAATAACCTTAATAAAAAATACAGTTTCTCTTGCAGGGGAAACTTTCTGATTTTCAGCACTGACAATCCTTCTGTTCCTATGATGGTGCAACCAATGCAATGGATTGGCATGCTCTGGATAACTATTCCCTTAACTCATAGACTTATATTTGTTGTTATTAGTGTTCTGTGCCATCAAGTCAGCTCTTACTTATGGCTACTTGATCATAGGGTTATCTTAGCAAGATTTATTCAGAGGAGGTGTGCCACTGCCTTTTTCTTAAACTGAGCTACTTAGAATATTAAACTACCAATATGCTTTGGAGATACTTAAAAGTCAACTGGCAGGTGAAAGAACTGAGGTTGCACCTAAGAATATCAGTTTGCAAGACAAATATGAGAGTACAGATAAATAAAGAGAGCCAGCATGGTGTAGTGGTTTGAGTGTTGGACTATGTCTCTGGAGAGTTCAAGTCCCTTCTTGGCCATGGGAACCCACTGGGTGACCTTGGGCAAGTCACACTCTTTCAGCCACAGAGGAAGGCAAAGGCAAACCTTCTCTGAATAAATCTTGCCAAGAAAACACCATGAGAAGTTCACTTTAGGATCATTTATTTATGTGGAAGAACACATAAACTAAGAGGGGCTGCAGCAGCTTGTTTTTGCCCAAGTTTGCTGGGAAAGGCAAGATAGTATCCCTTCCCCTGCTTTGGCACTATGAACTCAGTTTGCAGCAATGTAAGTAAGCTGGAAAGTGGAGGAGGAGAGAGAAACTGGGACATTTAAAATAAGCTGGAAAAGTGGGATGACAGCAGATTAATTGGAGCTCTTCTCTGCCATATTGGGACAGATGGAGATTATGGGCCTTTGCAGACTGCCAGAAATAATGCAAATTGAGTCCACTTTAAGGGTTAGGGTTAGTGCTAGGGAGTCATGGGAACTGTTGTTGTTTTTCTGAAATATTGAGCCTTCTCTATCAGAGAGCTCTGGTGCCACAATAAAATACAGTTCCCATGATTCCCTAACCCTAACCCTTAAAGTGGACTCAATTTGCACTATTTCTGGTAGTCTGCAAAGGCCTGTTATCATACCTAGGGCATCATCCCTACTTTCTGGCTAGGATATTATAAATCCCTCATTCACCCATTCTCTTACTTCAGCCATAGCCGTCATTCTTCTCAGTTGCTGAGTGATGGTAGTGGGATGCAACATGCAGCACTTATGACCACCATCTCAGCTGCCCTCTTTGAGCTTCATGCTAGCACCCCACAGTTGCTTTTGTGGGTCACCATCTTCACTAGGGGATTTTCTGGTTAAAGCTAAGAGGGTATAATATCCCCCCTCCCAAACCCTAGACAACCACCATTGTTAGATCCTCACTTGGGAAGAGTGCTTTAAATGCTGAGCTCCTCCATTTGTTTTAAAATGTTTGTCTGTTCTGCTCTCTTTGTAGCATTGAGTCAGGCTTGCAGCTATTTTTCTAACTCTGGATGGCAAGTAGGCACAATATTCACCTCTGTATCCATTGGACTTGGCCAGTGTAAGCAGCTGAGAATTTCCATTAAGTATTTCACAAAAATTACAAGAATCCATCAGGAATTTGAATGTGGGTGAGAAAGGAGGCATTCCTTCTCTAGACTCAGTGTAGCATAGTGGTTTCAAGCATTGGACTGTGACTCTGGACACCAGGGTTTGAAACCACTTGGGTGACCTTGGGTGAGTCGCACACTCTCAGCTACAGAAAACCCCACAATAGATTCACCTTAGGGTCACCATAAGTCAGAAATTACTTGAAAGCACAGAACAAATTCAATCTGTACAGAGCAGACTATCCATTGCAGTATAATATAATGTTGATGTATGTGTAAAGCTGTCTTATACCAAATCAGCCTTGGGTTTCCCACTTTATCCCAGTTTAACATACCAATTCCAGATGTTGAGCAGGTGAATTTTACTTCAAATGGGGTGATGTGACAGTGTTTTTCACTGTATCTGAAGACACCAAGGCAGCCTTGAGCACAGAGGAGGCTTCACAGGATACACCAATTTCCATCTTCTGGCACCTTTAGTGGCCATAAGAACACCTGTTCCTGTTGTCAGCTTTTGTATATTTGTGTGTGTATTTTTTCATGTGTACTTTTAGATCAGATTTGTTACTGACTCACAGCTCTCTAGTACCTCCCCACTCA